AAATTATACAAGTTCTTTGATGGCTTTGAGAAAAGAAAATATAGAATAGGTGGTAGGCATTTGTAGTCAATCCTTTGTCCTGACTACCTTAAATGAAAACAACTATTGCCTTCAATAGTAAGTAAGTCCAGTGGTTTACTTTTAGTATATATCCAGAAATGTGAAGTCCAAATAGGTTTTCCAGAGAACATAACTGAACAAGCAGCATCATGTAAGATTGTAAGAGACTTGAGGCTAGGTCAGATGTTTACCTTTCAAAAAGTTAATTAATCTTCGATTAGCTGCTATTAAAGGGTATAGAGCAAAGTCTATTCATGTTGTATTCATGTTCAATGTCTCCGTTAAACCCTAGACCTTAATTCTCGTTGACACTTAAACATGTATGCTCCTATGCATTTCAGATTTGTTGTGTTAGCCTATCATATAAATCCCAATAAAACACGCTTCAGTTTGTTTTAGCTACATGGCAAATAGGGAAAGTTCAAGAGATATGTATACTTTCATAAACACTTTAATTCACATCCTCTAACAGTACTGCACCGTTTTACTTTATACGATGCTACAGTTTCAGTTACCATCGTGGTTAAACTGATCCTATTGCACTTGTTGCTTATAACTGTATTATAACATGGTTTTATCTTCAAAATCCTCAATATGTAAGTGTTTAGTTCCATCTGCTGACAGGTGCATCTATTCAGATGTGAGAAGTGTGCGTTATTATTTTACCTTGTATGTCCTCTGGGCGTGGGCCCGATTGTAATCACTATCCCTGTTATATCTCCTTTATGTCAAGATTTTAAGGGCGTGACCTTAGTTCCCTCTTCATTAGGCTGTTTTTATGGAGTTGTGTTGTAGCTCAGCCAATCTCAGGTGGATTTATGATCTGATAGAGGATATCCTTGCATGCCAAGGTAGCATTCATTTGCACCAAGAGAGATGGGAGACATTTACAACAATAGTGGCATGAAAATTGCAGAAACTTGACACCCCAGAGCTCCTCTCCGGCTGCTGAACCGCTGTCAGCCAGACGATGGATGGTAGATAAGCTCGGCTAAGCAACACAGCCAAAACAAGCTTAATTAAAAGCAACTTTGGCTGTCACACTGAGAACAGTCAGGGGCTCTGATTCGCCATAAAATGAAGTGTTACTTCAGCGGTGCATGCAGAGAGCTGGAATGCATGTTGGAGTGCAAGCTAAGCTGTTGTAAATAACACATAGTATGCACAGAAAATTGAATATTAGGGCAGTTGTTTACTTTAAAATGTTCAAGTTTTATATTTTTGTAACATCTTTAATGTACCACAAAGGTACTGATCAATAAATTATTTTTCTATCTGCAAAGATCAATGAAACTGTCAGAGTGCATGTTTTTTTTGTTTTTTTTTGGATTTATTTCCTTGTAGTTCCTGTTTTAGGTAAAGCCCTTTTTTGCTTTGTTAGGCAGCAGGTCTTTTCTTTATTTTGCATAGATTGTTCCTTGTTCCCTGTTTATCTTTAGCGTGTCTCTGTTGTTTAGTCATGGACTGGTGCACTCACCTGTCTGTAATCAATTAATTATCCCAATCAAATTTTGACACCTGTCCTGTTCAGGGCTATGAAATCCCTTTCATAATTTCTTATCTTTTTTATATACCACACTTAAGCTAATTACACTAAGTCAATGTAGGTAAATATAAAAAGCAGGTTTTTAATTATAAGTTTGATAAAGGGTTTTTGGGACTCCAGCAAACCAAAGTTTACTATTAATCAAGTGAACATTAACTTATTATGAAAGTCAAGAATCCAAGAAGAATCTAAAGCACCACTGTCCTCAACTGCTTTAGTTAAGGCCAATAAGATGATTCAACATGTTAAAAGATATCTTTAACACTTTTAAAGAAAAGCTAACACCACTGCTGGCCAAAAAGGACACCGTGGTCTGTCTCAAATTTGTCAAAAACCCTGTAGCTGGTTGGGACAGAAACATAACTTCGAGGTTATGCATCCTTTTATATTTGTTACTACACAACATTAGAGAGAAAGAACATTATTCTGGGAGTCTAAGGGTGGAGTTGTGACATTCTACGGCTGCTTAAATGCTTTGGGACCTCTACATATTAATGTGCTGGATTGATCGATCCATTAAGTTTGACCCATTTAGATAATGTTGCTCCACTAAGACACCCTGAATTAAAATGGCTTGTGACAATGGGCTCAAAATGGGTGAAATGGCAGGATAACCAAGCATACCAATAAGTTCAAACCCATGTGGCTCAAACGATAAAATTACCAAATATTTTGGACTTTAATCTGATTAGGTTGCTGTGCCATTGCCTGTGTGACTGAATTTCAACAATTCTGCAACGAACATTGGGTTAAATGTTCCCCACTGTTATCTTAAAGACCGATAGCCAGCTATCACAACAAGTGTGTTAGTTTAATTCAGTGAAGTTTATTTATATAGTGACCATTTACAACACATGTCACCTGAAGGGACTTTGCAGAGATATTTTAAGCAGTCACACAGTCAGATTGTTTAAACGTTTTCTATCTTAGGAAAGCCAGCTGATTGCATCAACTCGTTGAGTTGGCAGTAGTCCCTTACACTAAGCATGAATGTAGCGACAGTGGAGAGGAAGAACGCCATTTTAGCAAGAGCAAACCTCAAGCAGAACCAGGCTCAGTGTGAGCAGCCTTCCGCTGAATCTGACTGGGGTTCAAGGAGATAGAAGAAGACAGACAAAAAGAAGCAGTGATACAAAAGGTAACTGTTAACCAGCTCCACCGGTGGCCCCGTCCAAGAAAAAACACACAGCCAGGTAGATGAGCTCCAATCCAGCTCCTATGTCAGAGGATGGAAGAGAGCACAGACAGTTAGTCACAAAGAGAAACAGGAATACACTGAAAAACAGGTTAAACTCCAGAATCTAAAAACAAAGGTGTTAATGGCAGCAGCATAGCGGATATTTCTGTCCAGGATAGATCTACAGCAAAACAGGAACAGGCCAAGTGAAGTTACTATAATGATAAAAAGCAGAGAGGGCATAAATATATAGGTGGAACTTAACAAACACTGTAGAATGGCAGAATGGTGAAAAGTGGTCCCTATGTCCTTCAGCAGTCTAAGCCTATAGCAGCATAACTATAGGAAAGGCTCAGGATAACCTGATGAGCCACACTGACTATAAGCTTGATCAAAAAAGAAAGTTTTAAGCCTAATTTCACAGACTAAAACTGCTAGTTTGTTCCACAGGGGGAGGTTAGTTATAGACATAGTGCAAGGCAGTGCTAGATAGTTATTTGAATAATTATTTTAAACCTGTATTTTCTATTTCCTCATAGTATATTTAATTGAAAACAGGAATTTCTTTGTTCTTTGATTTGTTAAAATGCTTTATTCTTTAATTCCTTGCATTTTGAGATGTACCTTTTGATGAATTATTTCTTAATGATGTGGAAAAACAAAGTTGTAACATCTGAAGAACCTGGAAACAGACCGTAAATACAGTTTGCAGTAAAGCCTCTCAGGTTTGAGGGGTCCCTGAAAATAAATGTTTTCGTATTCATTGAAATGTGGAATGCGGAAGGTTAATTGTTGAAGAAGAACAAAAGATAAGACACAAGAGAGGAGGTTTTGAAACCTTGGATTTGAAAGAGAATGATAAAGAGCGATGGATCACAGCTGGCTCGCCAAGGGGAATAATGACTGTCATGTTGCAGTGCATTAGCTCATACTCAGTCCAAACAGCTTGACTTGATAAAAAAAAGGCCAGTTAACAACTTACCACATACATAGCAACGAGACCCCATAGAGACAAGCCAGACAAGCAAGTCGTCTTTCATTTTAGTCATTATTAATGTTTGATTGACAGGGTAATTGGTATAATAATAGAACCAAGAACAGCATGCTTCCTTGATTCCATCAGTGACAGCAAGCCTATTTAAAGAGTTTTATCAACACAGTACAGGATACTAACCACTTCTGTTCATAACTTTGGCAAAGTCTTCATTGTTTTGGCAATGTTAGTGACCTTAATGCACTGAAATGATCAAAAATAGTTTGAATTCTCCTTTTTTAACTCTCAAAAAAAAAGAGTTAAGCAGCATAAGCTGCTTCTAAATGTGGCAGACTGTGCTTACTGAAACTGAAAGTGGCCAAGTCCAAGACCAAGAAGTTCTTATTGCAACTTGGATATGTGTCTCCAAGCATACTGAACTTTAAAGCAGATTGGCTACACCAGTAGACTGGCTGCCATGTTCTTTGGAGATTTCAATAAACAAGGCAGTTCTTGGACCAAAAGGGAGTACAATACATGTCAAGGCATGTCTTGACAATATACACTTAAAAATCAATATATTTTTATGATTTAGTTTAGCTATTACACTATCTGAGAAAAGAAAGGAAATTCAAGTCATAATATTTAATTCATGTTTTCTCTTGTAACATAATTACAAGAGGAATTCAGTATTACTTTTTCCACTTATAAATGTTGTAAGAAGAACCCCGCAGGCTCGCGCAGCAAGCGGTGATAGCTCATCAACCCTCCATCAGGCTTTGTTTATTTGAATTCCCGTTTTTCAGGGAAGAGAACCCCTCCACCAATCATTGTTTTTCTTTGGGAATCCACATATGGTTGTTATATACTTCTAAATTCAAGCCATATTTGCCTTTGCTGTATTGCTTTGCGGCTTTTCCCCCATCTCTTTGCATGTTAGAATTAATTATAACAAGGCATTTATTGGTTTTCCTCTTATACTTTTGGCTAGAGTTAAAAAGTATTGGGCCTTAGCACTAATAAGGTCCTTTACAAGCTTTCCAGACACATGAAAATGTTTTAATGCACAGTTGTCATCTTACAGATTCCAGATATACCCAATACTAGGTGACTGTATTTAGCTGTCTTGGGCTTTTCTTTTTTACTTTGATAGATGTGTAATCTCCATTTTTCCATGTGTGTTAGTGAAGCTTTCTTTATCTCTTTATTTCTCTTTTAATTTCTCAATATCTCTTCTCTTTTAGAGTGTTACACTGCAAACGGCGAGGATTACAGGGGGTTCCAGAACCAAACCAGCCTGTATGGAGGGAAACCTTGCCTGTTTTGGAATGAGACTTTCCAGCATCCTTACAACACCCTCAAATATCCCAATGGAGAAGGAGGTCTGGGAAGCCACAACTATTGCAGGTCAGTGGATGTTAGACATACGTTTCTGTTTACAATGTCTCCCATGGGAACAGTGACCTCCACAGTTATGATTGTATACAGAGATAAGCATATTTTCCATTCATCTTTACACAATCTCTCTTTTTTCATATGTGATCTCACCCTGTGGCTGCAGGATTTAGCTTTCAGTACCGACACAGCCATGGAACAGAGTTGATTTTGTGCTTGATGAGCAATTTCTGTAATAATTTGACAAAGTTTCTTTTACTATCCTGCTAATTGTGACATGGTGCAAGACCCACAGCATTACGGTTCCTTTATCTTACTTAACATCAGTGCGGTTTAAGTTACCCATGTTTTCATACTTTGTTTTGCACCAAAACACCCTGTAAGGGTTGCTTTTAAAAGTCGAGTCTTGGTTTTCACTTACAAAGCATAACATTAAAAAAAAACAAAGGTGCATGTAGTTAATGGCAGGGATTTTTTTTATCATTATCTTTTATATTATTTTGATTTTATCCATAAAAAATACCACTTCCAGCTAGTTGTGTTGTGTGCTTTCTTGAGTGGTAGAATCAGTCTGGAGAAGTAAACAGTAACACAGGAAATGAAGCCCAGATTAAAAGAAAACTACATGGAAAACATATTTTGGCATTGCGAGTATGTTTTTTACTCCAAATCTTATTAATCAGGCCACAACCCCTTTGAATCCATATCCCGACTCCATAAAAAGATTGTCTGACATGGGTTAGAAAAGATTAACATTTAAGGATGATGCCAGCTCTTAGCAAAAAGGGAACACAACTCTTACACACAAATTGGAAAGAGGAAGGGAGGAGCAGTTTTTAAACACAATAACACATTCATTTACCTTCTCTCTCACAAGGTCTACAGTGTCATTTAAAGTTAGAGAGATAGGAGCCACAGCAAGGCCCATTTAGCTGCATGTTAACTGAGGAAAAATGCTCCTTCTTATTCTTTTACATAAACCCTTTTGTCTTGTTCTGCAAATCTTTTTTTGTTTTTCCAATATATTTCTCCTCTCATCTGTTTTTTCTCTGTATTTTTTTTCAATCATCACATCAATCATCTTTTTCTTTTTTTTAAAGATAGTTGTAAATTATTTCAAAGATCTGCCTTATAGATCATCATGATGCTCTGATCGTTGGCTTAACCAGCGCTTGTCTTTTTTAATGATTTAGAGCCTGAGTTCTGTCATACATCAAAGTGTTTTTGCATTTTTTTTGTTCACAAGGGGGCCTGCAGAGATATTATGTTCGTGAATATTTTAAACACAACGTTTAGCCCCAATGTCACAAACATGAAAACTTCTAGCAGAGTCTGTGTAGGCAGATTTCTGTCCTCCTTCCTTGCAACGTGGAGGGATGCAGTGGCTGTGGGTGTCCAGAAAGTCATTTCGGTTCATTGGTCTTCCTTTCAAGAGCAGCTGTCAGCACTACAAGCATGAACGTCAAAGCTGTGAGTTTGAGGGTTGAAGGGGGTCACGCCATAGGGTGAGTCATCTGAAATTAACTGTGACGTCCAGAACAGTGGCCTGGCCTTGATTGCCAGGCTGTTGGAAGCAGGAAAACCCTCCCCCCCGTCTCCTCAGCCCAAACCTTCCAGAACTGTTCTGGTTCTACACTCATAATGAAACAGTGCTTTGAAGTGGAGTAAGGCAAATTTGTTTTTACTTGGACAGGATGGGATTGTGGAAGATTTATGAGTTGGATTTAAGCAGAGTATAGAGGTAAGCATTGCCTGCACATTAGGAGCTTGTTAGCTCCAACTATTGGTTCAGAAAGCACATTTTCACTGTTTGGATTTGGCTTCCCATGTAGCCGCTTTGGCAGCTTACTGCCGGTTCACTTTTTTTTCAACCCCCCCCAAAACATAAGAAAAAAAAAAAAAAAAACAAAGCAAAACATTGATTTCTGTTCTCAAAGCTTAAGCTTTGGCTGTTCTCAGACTTCCCCCGCAGATCCAAACCGAACACTTCAGTGTGTGGCATGTATGCACAAGGTCACGTACTTGTCCATTCCTTCACCCCCATACATGGGTTGCTTGTTAAACAGCGTACCTCTTCATTTCTCCGAGAGATATGTTGCAGTTGATTTACCTGATCAGAGAAAGCTTGTCCATGAGGCTGACTTTCCCAGTCATGTCTCTTACCTTATCATCCAATTTGGGTTGCAAATTGCCTGATTTACATGGGGTGCAGACTGCACTTCTAATCAAACATTTCTTTAAACCTCTGCAACATTCCTAGTCTTTACCTTCCAACCACCTGATTTGTGTCTCATCCTAACTTGAAGTTCAAGTTGGTTTTTTTCTTTTAAAGCTCCACAATAGAAGAAGTAACCAAGGGGGATGGGTAGTTTCAACTTGTTTTGCTCAACGTTCAGTTGAATCTTAACAAATAAAAATGCAGAAAATGCGTTACACAAAAGAGCAATTAAGGAATTTTTGCTGAGCATGCAAGTTTTCTGGTTGGTTTTAAAATATCCATTCATTTAACGGCTCTAAAATATATTTTTTCTCTTAGAGATTGATTCCATTATTCATTTTTGTCAAAAAAAATAATTTCGGATAAAAAAAACCCAAAAAAACTGGTACAGAAACAAAAAATAATGATCTAATGATTTAGGTAAAAAGCTTACAACTGAATTGACAAAAACTAGACTTTAATATTTGTGCCACCCTTGGTTGGAAGCAGTTGGCGCTCTCTTTTTTGTCTTTTAATTGATTTCCAACCTCATGTTTTGTCATTTTGTATTTCACCTTTAGCACAGCTTGAAGCTCTCATCAGAGGTTTTGAATTCCTAGTAAATGATGTTAAACAATGAACCTCCGCCTCTATGACCTTTTATCTTTACAGCCTGCAGTAAAATAACCCAATGACAACAGAACCAACTGGTATGAAAGAAGATATATTTTCAGAAACAGAAACCCAGAGGAAAAGGTCAAGAGCTCTCATGTCAAACTTAATACATATTAAGTTGTTTTTTGGTTGTGAATATATAAGAACTCAAATGAAGTTGTCATTGAAAAACATAGCATATGCAATGACGACAAGCACTTTTTTTTAACCTTTGTAGTACGTATACTTCATGACATTCACAAGACCATCACTCTAATCAAAGTTCTAATTTAGGCTGTTTTTAACATTCAGTTCAGTCTCCGGTGCCTACAGCATAACTGGTACTGGTGCATTAGTTAGCCTGTGAAGCGCATGATGGTTCAGTAGGAGGCTTAATACCTTTGTCTGCCATTTGACCACTATTTATATGCAGGTGTGTGTACAGCAGAATTTATGAGTCTTCACCATAGTTTCTAATGCTTTTCCCTTACATGGATTAGATAATGGAGATGCCAGAGTGAATAGTGTTCCACAAGTTGACACAGGATGTCTGCTTGCTGTGTTACTACAGTATATGTATATATATTTATATACATATATATATATATATATATATATATGTGTGGGTTTGACAGTGATTTGAGGATATGAGTGATATGAGTAATGAGGCTTTTTAAGACTGATTAGTTTGCGTTTATGAAGCTGTTGCTCCACTTATGCTGTGCCATACTGTTTCGTTACATGGTTAAATCTGTGTGTGTCATATGGAGGATTCAGATTTTTTCCCAGATGTATAAAAATATCTTAAGTTTGAAGGTGACGAACAATAAAGATATCTTATCCTATCTTAAAGCAAGAGTCTACTTAAGACCAAGGCACGTTATTGCACATCTGCCTTTCATTGCTTTGGCATATGGAAAGATGCAGCCATAAGTAAATAAGTGTTGTAGCCATGGTTTCACCGTGACATTACCTAATCTGAAATGCATCCAAAAAAAGTTGAGTAAATCTTCTGGATGGGTTCTTCTTTGTTTAAACATTACATCTCCTCTCCAAGAAACGTCTTCAGTCTCACAACCCTAAAACACATTATGGCAAAGACAGCTTTTTGCCAAAGATATGCTTCCCAGGTATTCATAAAGCAAACTGTAAATGTAAGAAATAATTTTAGTCTAATTTTAACCTTCTTTTGAAGATGAATTTTGTATGTACAGTATAGCTAAAGTGATGAGGTCAGTATATAGTATAAAGTCTGATTATTTGCAAATATATTTGAAATCTGGTATCAGGTGATTTTATGGGAGATAATACTTAATTACTTAATGTATTCTAATCCATCTTACCAGCTCATTTTGTACAATTGGTTGAAAATTGAGGAGGTTAGATTCATTGTGAGATAAACTTTTTGTCTTTTTTTGAATTCAAGCAAATTAATTTGATTTAAATGTACTCCAACTTTGATTTAGTTAGTTAAAGAAGTGTTGTTGCTACGCTGTCTTTTTTACATCATTTATATGAAAAACAAATGAAATTAAGTAGAAGCCGACCAAGGTTTTAAGCTAAATCTTTTATTTCTTTTCTCTGAAGAACATAGACTTAAAGCAAAAATATTGCATCTTCAGCTGGATGTTAGAAAGGAAAGTGAAAGATGGATAACTGGCCTGCAATCAGTCCAAAATCCCTGTGGACAATTGTGGAAGGAGCTGCGGTCGGCTTTTGTGAAATTGACTCTTGTGAAATTGATGCAGTTCCAGCAAACAGCAATGAAACATTTGGAGAAACTATCAGTCCACAAATGAGAGAGGCTTCCATATAACATGCTTTAAGGCCATCATAAATGCAGGGTATAGAGATCAAATATTAATTTGTCTTGTGGTCATGGTTTTAGTTTAAAATAGCTTTTAAAAGATGTTTGAATAGGCTGCTTAACAGCTTTAGATGGTGTCGATATCCCAAAATGTTTGTTCACACTTTTCAGTTTGACTGTTGTAAATATTAAGTGGAATTCATATTACATTTAATAACAATAAAATGACAGTTTGAATTGTTTCTGTTTTTATTATTTTGTAAAACACAATGATAAGTTACAATTTAGGCACAATATGCGGTAATAAAATGAAGTTAATTGCCATTTTCTTTATGGACACTAAGCTGATTGTAT